TTAGATTTGTATACATGCCCGAAACGTAGCGCAAATACTCATTTGGAAGTGTGTCGATAACCTTATTCATTAACTTTTAATACTTTCTACGTATTTTACTGTTAAGTCATCGTGCTTGCGATCTTTTATATTACCGATTATAATGTTGATACGACCTCCGTAATCTTTCACGTTGATACTATGTTTTACTCGTATCGATTGTTGTATTCAACCGAGTTCCGTGACATTACCCTTCAAGTCATGCAGAATTCCACAGTTCCGTAAGCAGTTACAACAGGGCGACAAGATATTAGAAAAATCTAAACTGTATTCAAGTTTTTGAAACATCAGCAACAGAAACTGGCGTGAAAACCACGACTTAAGATTATAATACCATTACACTGGTTCACAAATCGACTTATCATTTATCGATATACATAAAGCGAATCCCATAAATATAACATTAGTTTTGCGATGTTGCTAATAAATAGTTCTCAGTTAGATCTTTAAATACCTGACAAACTATTGGCATAAATAGGACAAGCTCACCAGGCGTTACTGATTAACGATCACTCTGGCTTGAGATTAAAGTTCTGCAATCAAATAGGCTAAAACTGCAAAGCTTCATTTTTTTATATTCACATTGTAATTAATAAAGGTTTTATAAGGAACTGAAGACAAAATATCCAGTACAAACGCTGTCCCGTATAAAAAGTAGGTTTAAACTTGTATATCGATTATGAAATTAATCACCGAAAGTATCAAAAGCTTCAGCATAAACTTTTGTCGTCATGACCCAACAAGACTTTAAGTTCCTCTATGATCTTTCCATGGCCCAAATACTGATTGATACAAAACACGGATATCCTTCGTGGTTAAATTCATTTTCTGTGATACGTGAAAAGCGTAGAATCAAATAACTCCCTGATCTAACAGTCTTTTCTGTAAATATTTAGTAGAACTAAAGATATGTCATGAGAATGGTTCTTATCTACAAATTACATGTGTACATGTCGTGTATCATACAACCCACACAATTTACTGATAACCCTATCGTTAAGTTTATGGTACCCCTAGAAATGCATCAATAAACACTGTAAACAAAAAACAATACCTTGATAATAACAAGAAACACTAAATAACTTGACTAAAGTAATCAAATCTGGCGCTGCATGATAAGAATGACTAATTTTCTGTAAAATTGAACCATCTCAGTTTGGACATAGAAGTCATGACGAGATAGGCATTCAACTATCGTCAAGACGTTCAAACCTTACAACCTATTATCTTATAAACCACAGACTGGAAATATATATAAGGTAATAGCCATAGAAAACTGAAGACACTATGATTTCTTACTTCCAGAACAAAAGAGAGAGATTTTTTGCCCCGTGACTGACTCTGTGGTAAATAATCTGCTACGCACTCTATGAATTTGAAATTGTGAAAATGTTGTAGACGAGTGGTTTGAGTTTTTTCTTTATGTGAATGATATCAGCAAGTTCAGCATGAACTAACTGCACGAACTTACAATGAGAAACATCTAACCACTATAAAGAAATGGAACAGAGATTAAAAGTGTTTCACAAACATTCATCAAACGGATTTTGTTATTGAACAACAATTACGGAATAAAAAAAACCAACAATTAATATTTGTCCGTTTCTCAGCATCTAATGTCGTCAGTTATAAACAACTTTTGATTCCAGTATCTACAACAATCGGAAATACCAGTTTGTTCCATTGGAGACAAAGCAAAATTTGGTAAATAGCAGTTGGCGGCCTGTGGGTCACATCCGGACCGAGAATTGAACCTGAAAAACTTCCAAGATCCACATTTAGGCGGAAACTGTTATTATTATTTTTAAGAAAAGAGATGGAAAACAAACAAACCTGTCCACTACTTATTTTTTCCTCTACTCGCGTTACTGTGGACACTTAATAAATTCCACAAGAGTGTATGCTAGATCAGATAACGTTTGTTATTTCCACCACTAAGTCCAACTTTTGTTTCATTTCCTCACTGAGATATCAAGCGCACAACGTGCTTTGGTGAATAATGCAACGAAGGAACATGTGTCGCTTTAACAGTCAGCCTTAATACTAATTCCTTCTTCATTCCAACCAAATGGTAACTTTTACCCAACTCATAGCCGTATCTTGAAATGACCGTTTATTTACATGTGTTCATTTTTTTTCTCACCTATAACGGACAAGTTACAATATCGTTTCGATAAATATTTTGAGATGGAACTCTGAAAGAGGAAAACATTTTGTAAACATGTAAATATTTTGGTTGATGTAAATTAATGAAAGATAATTAATAATTTTTATCTGTGTGATCAGGGCCAATGTTTGGTATTTTGCCACCTTATAGGCAAAATTTTAAATGTTCTCGGCGGAACCCTTCCTGCTATCACCGATAAACATTTATATCAAATTAGATAATAAAAGGTTATAATCTCTAGTAAACTTTTACTTGTGTGTCTAGATTCGAACTGTTTAGATTGTAAAGAAGTTTACTTTCTCGTCATTTTATTTTTTACATACAAAGATGCTAAGTACTTCTTTAAGGTCTAAAACCCTCTAAACTTTTATCGAAAGGTAATATTAATATATATATATATATAACATTACATAAAAAAATCTTGCAGTTCATAGTAAACCTATACTTCAGCAGGCCTATTTGTGTTCTGATTCGAACAGCTTAGATTTAAAATAAATTGACTTTCTCGTCTTTTCTTCAACTGCAAACATGCTAAGTATTTCTTTAAGGTCTAATCTCTTGAACCCGGTAAGTATTTGTTTTATATTCACATTGATTACCCTAAGGTGTCTGTGTCTATGATAGGTTAATAAATAATACATGACAAAGGATATGAAGCGGACGTGAGATAGTCTATTCTATTGAAAATAAAATTAATATAAAACTATTCTTGATTTTCCAATTGCCGACCTCGTCTACCTGATAAAGTCGGTCTTGTTCTTGAATCGCTTTCTCAGCAAACTGAATAACCCTGATACTCCCCAATGTATTTTAATGTTTTGAACTAAAAGCTATTTAAAGAAACGACTGTTGCCTTCGACAGTTAAGTTGAGTTATATCTCGTACGTTGTCTATTCTATTTAAATATGAACTTGTGCATTGTCTATTATATTTAGACTTTAGCTATTAATTTCAGTTAGTAATGAAGTAATACTCCAACAGATGACCTTATTAGTAGTGTACACACATGAAAGCTGAAAGACGATGTTTTGACAAAGACTTCATGAGGTTTAATATTTCATTAGATAACTTTATCCTTAAGACAGTTGAAATATGATGTTTCGACATAGAGATTTCACGGGTTTATAGGCAGTTTTTTCAGGTGGTACACATGACAGTTGTAAAATGGTGTTTCGTCATAAATATTTTAAGAGTTAATAGACAATCTTTCCAGGTGGTATATATATATATATTAATTGTAGATGTTTCAGCATAAATATTTTACCAGATATATAAAACATTACTAGCTGTATGTGACAGCTGATGAGGAATATTTCGACCCAAAGAATTCGTCAAAAAGTGAAATCACCTGGCTGCAAGCTCCGATAAAGGCAGATATTAAATGGTCGGAATTTCGCCTTAAAGAAGAAAGAAGATGTTAGAATTTCAAGCAACGCAAGGGTATTGTAATCAACAACAATGATGGATAAAGCTTGGTTTCTTATTGACTATTTTAGAAGTTCGCACAAAGCTACACGAGGATTATCTGTCTTTGCTAGCCGTCTCTAATTTTCAAGTAAAAGGCTTGAAGGAAGGCAAATAGTCAGCACCACCAACACTTGGGCTACTAATGTCAGACCGAAAAGTGGGATATGACCGTCACTCTCATAACGCACCTACGACTCCAAAGTATGGAGCGCGATTTGTTTTTGTTTTTTTGACAGTAAAACTGGATGCGAACTAGGGAAACTTAGCTTCACAATATGACAGTCTTAACCAATAGGCCGCGGTCGACCTTTCAACGTATAGACAAGAGGGAAGGCAGTTAGTCAATAGCACCCAACGCCAACTCGTGGACTCTTAACTGGCTGAATAGTGGGATTTCACCGTCACTGTTACAGCGCTTCTACGAACACAAAGTGGGAGTTGAATTTCTGCGGCAATCGGTCACGAACCATAAATCCTCAGATTCACAGTCAAACCACACTAAGCCCACCTCTTGTCGGAAGTGTGTGCTACAATAGAATGTATAGTTTATAAGCAAAACTATAGGTTGCATTAAATGGACTGTGAGTGGTTAGATCTTGGTTATTTACTGTAAGATTTTTAATTACATAAAACTTATCATGGCTAATGATTGTTGAATTTATGGTTCTTGTGGTATGCAAAGCTAATGAAAACTATACTGGATTAAACTGTAGTAAAAATCTTAGTAATTATTGATATGAACTTCTGAGTTAAATAATTCTGCACAATAATATGCCAACCAGGGGGCGTAACCACCACTAAAGAGTAGTGTTTCTTTTTCAAAATAAGAAAAACAACAACAAAGAATTTAAGTAATTTAAACGAAAGTCCAATATTTATTAAAAAAATAGAGGACAGTGGACTTTTTAGAAATCTACGCCCCTGAAGTCAACCACCACAAATGTTTTATATCAAGTATTGCCTGGGATACGACAGACACAGCGGTGGTTGAGACACTTTTTTTATTTAGCAAATTGCTTTACGAAAACTTTTAGGGTGTGGACTGGCTTATTTTGATGGTGAAGTTTTAACTCAGCATTTGAATTGGAGGTTTCGAATCTGTCACAAATTTTTAAAGGCTTAGTTAGCTCATTTATGTGATTGTTTTGACGGCGGTATATCGTTTGAAAAAATTTATTTGATTAATATATACTTTTAAAGCTAGCTCCTAACCCTCACCAAATTTATACGTAACACATAAGCAACTATAAGATAGGTTTTGAATAAATGAATATACTATCTATGATATCTATATTTACACTCCTCAATAATACAAAACATTACTTACTTGGGTGTGAAGTGTAACAGGAAGTTCAGAATAGAAAGGTAGACGTTTAGTCCACTGCACTAACTTGAACACTATGTTGTCCCCTATTTGACAAAGTTTTTCTGAGAGCTCGTATTTTATACTCAGTAGCTCTTGTAGGTTGCTAAGAGTCGCTACATCCTCAAAATCATCGCACTCAATCAACTGCGTTATCATGCTCACAGCTTGCTCAACTGGCATTTGACGGTCACGCGAACTTGTGACGCAGTTTTCAAGGCGATGACGTAGGTGCATAACATTGGTTGGGTTAGTTAGAGCGGTTTTAAGGATCCGGCCGTTCGCCCATTCTTGGTGAGGGTAACGGCTCGGCGTTTTTTGTTGTTCTTGTCTAACTTGACCATTCTTTTGGCCTTTCTTGTGCTTCTTGTACTTTACCTGATGTTAAAAGAAAAAGAAACACTATTCAAACAACAGTATCGATTAGAGGTAAATAGCTCTTTGGCAGTAATAATGTAATACACACCATATGCACTTTGAAGTGTAACTCGGACCTCATATATATGATTATATTACACTTTTATGGCAAGCCATGGGAGCCATACATAACCTATCAGTTCAACCAGTAGCCTAACTTTGGACTATGCATTATGGTCTGCAGGTCCGAAGTTAACAAGGTCATAACGTATTAAATCAACGCGTTATGGACCTGTAAATTGGTAGCCATCAGG